GGCCCCCCGCCGCCGGAGCCGCTGCCGCCGCCTCTGCCGCCGCTGGAGGAGGAGTAGCAGAACATGGCGCCGGGGCCGCCGTCCCCGCTGTCGGGATCCCGGAGGCCGGGACCGCGCTGAGGGCGCCCAGCTGGTGAGTGCGCGAGCTGGCGGGCCCCGGCTCCGAGGCTGGGCGCCGCCCCGCTGCGGGGTCCAGGGGGAGGCGGGGACGGCGGGGCCCGGAGCCCGCGAACAATGGAGGAGCCGGAGGGGGAGGGGAGGGAGCGGCCCCCCAGCCCCCGGGCCCCACTGGCCCCGCAGCTTCGCGCTGCGGCCCGGCCCGCGGGGCCCGGTTGCCCTTCGGACATGCCCCTGACCACCCCAGCCCTGCTGTCCCCTCGTCTGCCCCCACCCTCCGATCCACTGGGATCTCGGTGTCTGCCTCGCCCCCCCACTTCAGCCACTCTCTTAGCAATTCTACGGACCCTTTTCCACCTTCACTCATCCTGGACTCTGCAGTGCTCAGGGGACCCACCTCCTCGGTGACCCTTATGCATCTTTTAATTCTCGACCCCCACTTTGAGATTCGTGACCCCTCTGTCTCCTCTCGGATTCCGCTTTCACCACCCTGCGGACCTATCCCCTTCTTTGACCTATCTACTCTTAACCCTTCCTCTCAGAATCTTGCATCCCCAGGAGCTGTCCCTCTAGGACCTGTGGTTCCACCTCCTTGGAGGTCTTTCTGAGACTCTTCGTCTAGGCACTACTGCCCCAGGTCTTCCTCTTGGACTTAATTTCACCCCCCTCTTGGGCCCTACTGCCCACTCATAGCACCTGCTGCACCCCAGGGATGCCCCTGGTCTCTCTGACCCTTCCATGCTTCAGTTCTGTCTCCTGCTCCTTCTCGGACTCCGATGCACTATGCTGTCTCCTGCTCTTCTCAGATCTTGCTCCCCTTGGCCATTCAGACCCTTGCCGCTCTTTCAGACCTTTCTGCTTCCCGGCTCTGCCCCTTGGCCAATCTCAGCTCTTGCTGTGTCCCCTAACCTGCTTGCTTTCTGACTCTGCCTTCCATGAAGCAGTGTCCTCCCTGTCTCTCACCCGGCAGCTTGTTCATTTCTGCCATTCATAGCTCTGCCTTCTCTCCCTAACCCAGCTTCTCCGCAGCCTCAGTGCAGCCCTGAGGCCTCAGTCTGCCCCAGTGTTCTCCTTGAGGTTTTCTCTCCCCACCTCCTTATTGGCACTCTTGAGCTGTTTCATTCATTTGCTCCCCGATTCTTTGACCTGTCTCCTGTTCACTTCTCTCAAGACATGTTTCCATCCTCCTCTTTGCTCCAAGTCCTTTTCTCTCCATTTTGGCCCTTCTTACGCTTGCCCCTTTACCTCACTGAACCAGCCATAACTTCTCTCTCACCCATCTCCCCCTTTCCGTTCTGCATCTCACAGACCTGTCCCAAATCCTTTTTGCACCTGCTCTTTCATTTGTTCATTTCTGCCCCATCTTCTCTATTTACTGTCTGCCAGCTCTGCCCCTTTTGGAGCTGTCCACTTTGCTCACCTGTTTTCTTGTACCCATTTTAACTTGCCTGCCGCTGTCCTCTCTAGGATTGGTCCTTTTTAACCCTGGTCATCTTGCAACTGCCTCCCACTTACATTGCCTCTGAATTCTACGTTTCCCACCTAACCTTCTCTGCCCCCACCATTTTGATTCAGCTCTCAATCTTTACTTTGTCCTTTCTTGTATTCATCCTCCCCTCTTTGCCCTGCCTCGTTTTTATACCTCCTTTTTGAGTCATCTCCCCAGTTCTGCCCAGTATTAGAGATGTCTTCTCAATTGGTCGTACCTGTCATGGTCTGCCTCCTTACCCCCAAGTCCCCTCTTGGAGCCTCCTGAGTTCTTGGATGGATTCTCCCTCTCTTTTGAAACCCATCTCCCAATTCTGTCCCTCGTTGACCTTTTTTCCTCCCTCATCTTTTCTTTCCCCTTGTATCTTACCAGGCTCCTTTTCATCCCGTTTAGTTCCTATCAGACTTGGTTCTCGCAGCTCCCCTCCCTTGACCTGCCCATTCCCCACTGAATGCTTCCCCTCTTCAGGCTTGCCTTTCTCTAGTCTCCATCCTCAGCTTTGGAGGGAAAGGGGCTAGGTTGGGCCTAGGGTTCGATAGGCTCCGATTTAGACTGCAAATTCCCTCTGTGCCTGATCCTCAGGGTTTTATGCTGAGGGATCCTGTGAGATCTGGGTAAATATTAGGAGGGGGCTGGTTGATTGGTTACTGATCTCCAGTGTGGGAGTGTCCCCCCCAGTTCTTCCCCTTCCCGCCCCTTCTACCAAGGTTAGTGGTGGGGGTAGATCTCTTTCCATTGCCCGGTTTTCTTTCCCACTCCCATTTTGCTCTGCAGCCCCTTCAATTCCCTGGCCTTGCTACTTTGTGTCCTTGGGAAAAGGAGAGTGCAGCTGCTCACAGGTCTTGCTTCTCTTTCTCCCTTTCCCTGCCCTCTTTTCTGAGCGATTGTAGAGAAAGTTGTACCCTCTCGCCCCTCCCACCTCCAAGCCAGCACCATGTGGGAGAACTTAGGAGTGTGCTTCTTTTTTTTTTTTTTACTCCTGGCTGGGGAAATGACAGTTCACAAGTTCTCCCCAACCCCACCAGGGGTTATGAACACCCTTGGTGTTTACTGCTGTGGGTCTGCAGAAGAGTCCCGCCTTCCCTAACTGCCTCTGGTTTGCAGGGTGACCTTTGGGAGGGTTGGGGGACGCTGGGCTCGCTTCTTTTTCACCTCTGCCCTGGGAAGGCTCCAGCTTCCTGGTCTTCAAAATAGTGAAGGCCTGGATTTGGAAAGCTGTTTGCCGTTGTTTGTTGAAAGAGAGAGTGCCAAGTGTCACTCAGATTTCTGCCCTCTGGTATTACAGGCCCTCCCAGCCACAGGAGCTGAATGCCTCTGGGCAGAGTCATGCTGGATTAAGGGGGAAAGGGGCTCACTGGTGTACAAGGGGTATGTGAGCGGGCCCTGACACTCCCCAAGCCTTTTGAGTGACCTGATTTGATAGAGTGAGAAAGGAGTGCCAGAACTGGCTGATTTGATTGGATTTTTTGGACTTATTACCTGGGAAATGTGTCTTAGCTACCTTTCCTTGAGCTGTTTTCTTCAGTGATCTTATGTTAGGGGTGGGATTTAGGAAATTCATTCAGAGGAAGAGGTGGTTTTTACAGAAAAGCCTTCCAACCATTTTCCTTCCTTAACCTTAGGAGAGGGAGCCTTTTGCATGTTCTGGGTTTATTTATTTTATTTCTTAAGTAAATCAAAAGCCTGACTTTTTCCCCCTGTGGCCTAGGGCAATTGCATATTAAAGCAGCCATCCAGCTGTGAAGGAGCCATTTACTGGAAGGACTTTATTTCTTAACTGAGCTATGATCAAACTTTGTTTACTTCAGCACTTATTCAGAAATAGTTCTGTGTGAACACATTTGAAGTAAAAAATAAAAAACATTCACTGTCATCTACAGAATTGGACCATTGACTCATCACATGTTAGGGCATTTGTATATGAGACAATGAGGGGGCTGGATAGTAGATTCTTCTGGCTCTTTTAGCTTCTAACTTCTTAGGACTTTATAAATTTTCTGACAACCAGAGGCTGGTAATTTTAATTATCTATGGCATGTGTCTTCACCATTATTGACTTAAAGAATTTTGGTTCATTTCCGCTGGTTTCTGTTCATTTCTGAATTTTGTGAATCATGATTCTCTGAATTTACTTTACAGTTTATGTTCCCTAAGTTGGTATAAATAGTTGTTTTGTTTTTTATTCTTAATGTGGAAGTGGCAGCTAATTAAGAATAAAAACAACTGTGTATGCAATATCACTTAAATTTGTGTTCCAGAGTTTTAACATCACTGGTAGCACAGAAAGTTTCTGCAAGCCCAAAGCCTAAGTTTATAGAATAGTAAGAAAGGAGATAGATGAACAAAGAGCTGACTTGTTTCTTCCTAAACTGATAACTGATGTTCCAGACTGTCAGTTTCTCTGATGGCAGCAGAGGCTCTAACCCCTGCATCAGCAATTGCTTTCACGATGGAATTGGATGCTACAGAAATTCGTGATGGTAGCCTTGGCCTCCTGGACCAGTTGATAGTGCCAGTTGGGGATTGGATGTGGAGCAGGTGATAGTGGTAGATGACTACTTTCAACCTAGTGACGTGCCTTCAAGGATCTTGCCCTGCCTAGAAAATCTTTGTAATACTGGCCTGATCAAAGTTCCTCTCATCTACCTTTTTTTTAAGCCTTTCTTTTTGGCTATGTTCCCCTTCCCTTACCCATCGCCTCTTTTTCCTTGATATGATGAATTTTTCTTGGCATGATCCATTTAGGACAATAAGAAATCAAAAAATAGTCATTCCTTTTCATACCAGACACATGGAAGGTGTTGTCCCTGTGCAGATTCATGGGCCTGATGGTGGCTTTTGGCAAAGTACAGCCTGAGAGGAATGAGGGTTGCACAGGTGACCGTAAACCACAGCCTCATACTCATATGTGTTTGGTCAGTCTGTACGTGATGGGGAACTATCAGGTCAGTACAGTCGGGGATAGAAAAGGTGAGAGTGGTTTTCCAAGTCTCTGGTCTCCTCTGCCTTCCCTTTTCTGTCTGCTGTGAGGTTCAGAAAGGTGTTAGGCCTCTTGTAGGGCCTTCCTGTGATCTGCTGCAACTATTGTCATTCTCTACCTGATGGTCTAAACAGTGTCTTAATTCACTCAGCGAGTGGGAGGGACATTTTATAGATTATCTAGTCCAGTTGTTTAAATTTTCTTTTTCATACTATATAGAATAGATCAATTTGGAGATTTTCTGCTTGAAGGGGGAGGAAGGTGACTAGCAGGAATCCATCCCTTGGCCTTGGAGCAGCACAGTTTGAAAATCAGTGCCTAGTCAGGCCTTCTCATTTACAGACAGAAAAATGGAAGGCAAAAGGGGAATGGTGACAGGCTTCCTGTCATAGTTGAAAGACTACTGGACATACAGGTGGGAGACCTTCTGCTCTAGGCCTTACTCCAGTTAGTTGGAACGTTGGACAAATCTCTATACCTCTCTGGACTTCACATTTATAGTCTGAAGTGTAGTATATCGTCCGCTCTGCTTGTAGATTCCAGTTTT